GCCCATTTCTGTCTTGTAGGTCAACTTTATAAATCATTAGCATTGCTATCCACCCATTGAACAGAACAGCCCTACTACTAGAAAGAGACATGATCAACAGAAATCTCCCAAATCAGTAGAAATTTTACCCCAAGTCTCTGCAGAGCTGCTCTTGCTGAGGGGATCCCCCTTCAGGGCACACTGCTGTTCCCCTTGGTTTGGCTGTGAGCAGCTTGCCCTGGCCTGGCTAGCACCTGACACAGCCTCCCCCATGCAAATCCACAACCTGCCCGTCTTAGTGCAGATGCAGAAGATTAAATTGCTGGCACATTTTCAGGACCCTGCCCTGGGAGAGAGGGACAGCAGTACTTCTGCAGGCACGCTCAGCAGCCTGGCCTGCCCTGTGCTTGCAGCTGAAACGCAAAGGGCTGAACAAAGTCTGCAATTAGTAGCAATTCAGACTCGTGGAAGGGCCCCTGAGGAAGCCAAGGAATGTGATTCAGTTTACAGGTGCCACTGCTGCTGCTCTTGGAGCAAACCAGGGCTTAAATTGTAAATTCCTGGTGAGAGGGCTGTGTGTCAGGGGAGCTGCAGTGCCTGGCATGCAGGCACGCTGGCAGGGGCAGCACTGCAGCAGCTCAAGCACGAGCTGGAGCTCACTGCAGCTGTGCCACTCTGCAGCTTTTGGACAAACATTTGTTAGAGATGTGGGAGAGACTAGCAGCACACCTCAGCTCAGCGCCTGGGGAACAGCAGAGTTAACACTGCTGTCATGAAAAGTCCAGGAGGAACCTGTCAGCCATTAGAAATGCCTCTGGCCAGCTTGGGTTACAGCAGCAGCATCACTTCCAGCTTGAGGCAAACCTTTTGGCCGCAATTCATGAAATCCACACGCTCTGAAGCAAGACACCGGGTGCTGTTACCAAACCCAGGTGCCATCACCAGCTCAGGGTCTCTTCCAGAGCTGCAGGAGCAGCAGCTGAACGCAGCAGGCGCCCAGGACAGCGAGCAGGCAGGCAGGACAGGGCACGATGCTGCAGCAGGACACCCTTCCATCAGCCAGGTACACAGGCACTGACTCACAGGAGGGCAGCCAGAGCCTGGCTGAATTCTCCCCAGAGCCACGTGTACTGGGTGGACCATGGCTACAGCATCTCACAACCACCTGCTCGGGTAAATGAAGGCTGGCTGGCTAACCAACACACCCTGAGTAATCTCTACATCCTTCAAGGCCGCCCAATACAAACAGCTGGCAACTCTGTCCCCTGTCAGTATTTGCTGTACCACAAATACTAACTGTGATCCTGGACTCCCTTATAACAACCAGGTTTTTTTTCTTCTCTGAGCTCCCAACCTGCAGCTTTTTTGTTCACTGGCAAGCGTGAAGTCAAATGAAAGAAAGTATTCAGGAACTTAAAAATGTCTTATAAATCACTCTTAAATATGATTTGCTCAATGAGGACAGCTGGGTGGATTGGAAGAGCCTAACAGTACTCTTTGTGTTCAATTTATTGCCGAAAATACCCTCAGGTAACAAAAAAGTAAATAAAATAACATTTACAAACAGGAACATGCTGCCTTTGTGAGAGCATGCTTGTAGCTGTGGGGACTTAAATCTCAAAATTAACACTCCATGGACAATGGGGAGACTCCAAGACAAGCTGCCAAGATGGTGTTATGACACTGGGCAGCTCTGCCACTGAAAACTGCCCACTTGAAAGCCTTGATGAATTTATGGATGGAATACATTCACTTGCAGGCTGAGCTCTCAAAATGACAACAGGCATTTCACACACAGACACACAGCATTGTGCCAGGACCAGGGCAAGCAGGACATGAAGGTGAGGGCACCTCATTGCCCCAGCAGGCAGAAACCAGCCACACACCCTGCACCACACACTCTGCTCTGGGAAGAGCTGCAAGGGCACCTGATACTCTCCATAAGCCAGAGCTCCAAGGTCTGGTAGCTGGCTGGGGCATTCAGCAGTCACTGTTGGGATTCTAATGCAGAAAGAGATAAAAGAGAGATACCTGGCCTCTGCTCCTTCTTTCCAAAAATGAGTCAGAGTAATTCCCCACGTGCTTGGGGAAAAGTGTCTCCTTTGACTAGGGAGGGCACTGAAACAGCAGAACAGCTGTAACTTCCCAGAGAGACCATCCTCAGCACCCAGCTGCCTCCTTCAGTAGGCAGCTAAGAAGCTCTTTGGAGGCAGAAATATGGAACAGGATTTCCATCAGGAAGATCCTGAGCCATACTTCTTCCAAGGCTGAATAACATCAACTTCAAAGTTCTTCCATCTCCCACCAGCTTCTTGTCGATAGGACATGAAAGGGTTAAAGACACCACTCCACTCATGACTACCATGGGAAAACTTTGTTCCAAATTCTCCATTTCATGCTGCTAGAAGACCAACAATCTTGAATTACCTTGTATTAAACAAGGCAGTTCTACAGGGCAGCTTGCATTTGCTTTTAAGTCCACTGCTTATCCAAGGCAGTCGACTAATGGACAACAGACAGACAAATTCCACTGCTCCTGGAGCACAGCTACTCCTGCAAGCATTACACAAGATGCTAATGACAAAATCTGCAGGCTTAATGCCAAGCATTAATTTATCTGAATCCTATCCTAAATGAAGATCAGAGCCAAGAGGGCATATGCTTTTCTTGCAGCATTTTTAAGAAGTGGAGAGTGAGAAACAGAGCATGAAGCAAAAACGGCAGCAGAGGATCCCCTCCAGGACACCGTGCTCACTTGCACTGTTATTTACATGTTTTTTCCCCTTGTACTCCCTGGACTGAAGGAAGGAAGGATGTTTCATAGGAAGGAAGCACTGGTGTGGCTGTACTGAGACAGGACCACACTGCTTCCCCCACCGTGCTGCTCCTTTCTACAGAGGAGGGAAAGAGTAGAGAATTCACATTTTCCCTCTCATCTTAATTAGCAGTAAGGAGAGGAAGCTAACCTCAGTCCAGCTCTGATTTCAAACAGGGTTAGTGTCCAAAGCTGGAGCAGGTTGCTCAGGACTGCATTAAGTTGTGAAAATCTCCAGGGTCTGAAATGCCCCAACCCCTTGGGCCTTGTTTCCTGTCAGAACAACCTCAGGGAGAAAATTACTTTCCTTTATGTTCAGTCAGAATTTACCATGCTGTCACTTTCTGCATCTGGAATGGGGCAATACCCAGCATCAGTTCAGACTGGTGGATGAATGGATTGAGAGCAGCGCTGCAGAGACAGACTTGGGGATATTGGTGGACAAAAATTAGACATGACCCAGAAATATGTGCTTGTAGCCTAGAAAGCCAACAGTGGTCCCAGGCTGCATCAAAAAAATTATGGTCAGCAGGCCAAGGGAAGTGATTTTCCTGCTCTGCTCTCATGAGACCCCACCTGGAGCACTACACCTGGAGTTCTGGTGTCCTCAGAAAGACTACAGTGGGTTCACAAGAGGCCACAAAAAAGAGCCAAGGGCTGTAATACTTCAGTGAAGAAGGGCTGAGAGAGTTGGGGTTGTTCAGTCTGGAAAAGAGGAGACTCTGTGGAGACCGCCTTTCAATATTTAAAGAGGATTTATAAGAAAGTCACAGACTTTTTACCCTTTACTGTAGTGATGGGATGTGGGCACTGGTTTCAAACTAAGAGAGTAGGTTAACATTGGATATTAGGAAGAAATTTTTTCTCGTGAAGGTGGTGAGTCACTGGCACAAGTTGCACAAAGAAGTGGATGCTCCATCCCAGGAAGTGTCCAAGGTTAAGTTGGACGGGGCTTTAGGCAACCTGGTCTAGTGAAATATCCATCTGAATGTCATGACACTTTAGACAGCATCTCACCCGTACTGAGCAGAAAAGAACAGCCTTCTCTTGATCTGCCTCACAGGCAGTCGCTGCCATTGCTTTGCTGAGCCTGTCCAGCTTGCTCCTGCCATTCTTGCTTTTGCAGAGAGAGATGCTCTGTGTGCCCCACCACTTCACATACAGCTGGGTTCCAAAGCAAGGACTGTGCTGAACTCTCAGCCACATGCCCCAGCAGTTGCAGCAGTCACTAGGGACACACAGGGCAGAGATTACTAAAAAAAGAAAAAATTGAAAGAAAAAAAAAAAAGAGAGAAAACCCACCCTGCTTTGCAGATCAGCTGAAAGCGTAGGCAGCTGAGGAAAAGTGAATGGAGATGATCTGTGTGTGAGGACTTGGGAGTGTGATCCTGTCGTAAGGCAGCCAGAGAAAGCAAGCTAGAGACTGGGGCTTGCCACTCCTGCTGCTGCAGGAGGGAAATGAGGGGCAGGTGACCCAGACCCAAGGAGTGCCACCTGGCAGTCAAGGCAGTCAGCAGGGCACAGCTGTTTCCCTGCACTCAGCAGTTGCTGTTTCCCTCTGCCTGCACCTCCAGCCAGCCTCACAGCCCAGCTCTCACACAGCAGCTACCAGCAGCCTGTTTGTGCTCTGTGCTCTGCAGGGTACACCCCAAAGAGCCTCCCCATCTTCCCATCTGCTGGAAAAGAGTTCCTCACCTCCACAGCTAGTAATGCTCCACTGCAGCACTGTTCCTGCAGTCACCTTCAAACACACACAATTTCACAGCTTCCCAAAGCACTGCTGATACTGCTGTTAATTCACAGCCCCTCTGACAGTGGTTACAAACAAAAGGAAAAGATCTATTCCAAACTGGGCTTCTTGCTCCCATGCTCTGCCCAATGCATAAAAGGTAACAGCCAGAGAATTTTAGAGCATATGCAGGCAGTTTACAATATACTAACAGCCAAAACTCACACAGAAACATCAACACCCACGTTACACAGGATACCTTTATGCAAGGACATTAGTCATACTCAGCAACATTAAAAACAATCTTCAAGAGCAGCTATACAGAACAGGATGCAGACAGAAGAGTGAGAGACTTCATTAGGAATTCTCAATTGCTTCAAGTTCAAATTCTCACCACAAAGCAGCAGTTATTTATTATCATCCAGGAATTATTGTTTTCCAGTAAAAACAGACATATTTCCAAATGATTCACACTACCTGAGAAATTAATGTTTTTGCAGCTCTGTTCCAGATCCTAGGTCAGGAATCTCCATTCTATTCCGGTAAATTCCACTAAGATATCACATGTAACAACAAGTTCTTGAAGAAGTTTCATCAGATTTTCCCTTTAAGGTAACCCACTGCACTCCCACGTGAGGCACAGGCACCTCAAAGGCACAAGCAGCTGAAAGTGCTGCAGTGGAATCAGATGATCAAGACAACCTTGGAGCCTCTGCAGCCTCGAAACATATCCTGTGATTTTCAAATCAATCCAGTGGGGAAGACACAAGCCAGTGCTGAACCTTAAGAGCCAGATAATGCTTCTAGAAGCAATTTTAATTAGTTCAGTTCTGAGAATGAACGTGTCTGACAGATTTTGCTGCAACACGTACGGAGGGTGCAGCACTGCAGCAAAAGCTGTCACTCCCATCTGAGCAGAGCTGTGCGGCATGCAGCACGGGTGGCAGGGCTGACGACACCAACCATCAGAACCACCCTTGCTGCACAGCCCAGAGCTACCTTGCTGCAAGCACTGCATCGCATGCAGCAACAGAGGAAAATGGGAAAAGTAAGCATTTAAGGTAAAGAGAAACATTCTTGAGCTAATTAAAGAGTTGCTTGAGCTTACGTTCATCGTGATCAGTCATGCAGAAAGACATTTTCAGCTTAGGATGAAGCTACCAATTTTAGAGGTCAATTAGAACACTGAAACACTTACACAAGAAGGAGGAACACAGGCCCTGCCATGTCACACAGCAACATGCTCCTTTTTTGCTCCCACACCACCTTTACCTACCCTGGCACTTGCACTTCCAGTGCAGGGTACTTGTTGTCACCTGCCCCAGGACCCTCAGGGGAGATGGAGCAGTCACTGGGTGACCTGCTACCTGCTGCCCACTGGCTCCCAGAGTGGGAGAGCTGCTGTCCTGGAGCAGAAGTGATGTGTGTCACCAGAAAGCACCTTCCTCAGCTGCCCCACAGGACTGCTGTGCCACGACACAGGTCAGGCAGCCCTCTCACATCACCTGCCTGCAGCCACAGATGCTTTCCTCTCCTACTGCACAGCCTGACACATGAGCCCCAAGCTCCAGTGGTTTTGTAATATTAACCACCAAAGCAGAATCCTACCAGGGCTAAGAAAGCCTTGGTTCTCATCTCCTGCTGCTCTGCTTTCTCAGAGGCATGCAGTGCACAATCAAGGATAGCCACAGCGCTATTTGCAAAGGATCTGAATGAAATCAGTCCTACTACTTCTGAGCCAAACAACCACAAATCCAAGCAAGGAACACAGGGTTTTTGTGGCAACAAAATCTTATTTAGATCAACGCCCCCTCCCCCCTCTCCAGGCATCAAGTTTGCAAGTTGAAATCACAAACCTCAAAACCGGCTGAGTTAATGAGTTAATTCAATACTAAGTAAGGTTTGATACTATGGCCTGGGCAGTACAGGTCAAACTATGACTTAAAAACCAATTAGCTAAGTAAATTCAGAACTAGAAATGTTTACATGCAGGGGCTTGTCCACCCAGTACTGATTAAAAATCGTTAAAGCCTACACTTTCCCCTTTGTGACTTGAAGCAGCTAAAGCACCACATTCCCCACAAACCAGGGCAGACAGCAAGGAGGAGTGATGAGGAAGTACCCACCCCTGACAGTGCACGTCCCCCACGACTTCACCCTGGAGCACTCAGGAGCCCACCTGTCAGAAGCAGACACAGAACCAGGCCAGCCTGCCTGCAGCCAGGGAGGACAGTGAGCACGGCTGGGCTGTGGACAGCTGTCCCCTGGCACACAGGGCAGGGCAGCGTGACAGCCATCACGTGCAGCAGGCCAAGGAGCAGCCATACGGAAGTTTCCAGCACACACAAAGTATTTACACACGTGAGACCAGCACACTTTGCTGGCCCATGTTCAATACAGCTGCTCAGAGCCCAGATGATAGGACTCTGAAGTTACTTTGTGAGGGGGATATTTGAGGTTTGCTCAATTCAATGAAGCTCTGACAAACAGGGCCAAAAAGATTGGGACTCAATAAACGTAGAAAATTTTCCACTGAAGTCCTCTAAACTTGATGTCTCTACTCCTCTGCCCAAACCTGGGCAGCACTTTGTACGAGCAGGAATTTTGCAAAGGTAGCACATCCAAACTCACTGTGAAAGCATGGTGGTGACAGAGACCTCAATGCAGACAGCAATGCTTAGATGCTTGAGGGATGCTATTACTGCACAAGTGACCTCACAAACTTTGGACCAGATCCTCAAACTTAAGTTTTATCATCATTTTCAGGTGGCCCTGCACTGTGCCTGCCTCCTTCTAGCTTCGTGGTCCCCTCCCTTGGCCAGGGTAAAGCAGCCCTGCAGCCAGGCTGGCAATCTGGCAGGGCTAAAGGGAGTGGGGGGAGCCTGGTGGTTAATTTTCACCCAGATCAACTCCTTGAACATGGCTGCATGGAGTTTTTGTCAGCTGGGGTAGGGTTAGAAAGGTCATTTGGAGGAGAAAGCGGATAGGACAAGGGGAAAGGCAAACCCACTTCCTCCAGTGCCCATCTGCACTGATGTAGCTCTTCCCAGATCCATGACTGGAGAGGATGTGAAAACTCATCTCTCCTCCAACTAGACAAGAGCAAGCAGACACTCTCATCTGCCCAAAGTCACACAGAAATAAACTTACCAGTTTATGTGTTCTTATACTTTATACCCGTGTATTGGCAACTTTGTCCCTAAGCAAGGAAGTGATACATTTCATTCCTGGGGTTATTGGGGTGGATCCTAAGGGGCTCTATTATGAGAAGAGACAAGACTGCAGAGCAGGCTGAGTGCTAAGTACAACATTAAAAACTCTTCTTTTTCTAAACACCCCTTTCTCCTTTCAGCCCATCACTCACAGGGTGCATTCACCTTTCTGGACTGGGTTTCTATGTGAAATTTAAATGTTCAGGAACACAAATGTTACATTTGCTGCACAACAAAATATTCTCAGCTTTCTTTTACAGAAAATGAAACAGAAACTGCCTGTGCACAGCATTCACGCCTCTGTGCATGCTGCTGTCACGCTTAGGTAAAGCTGTGCACCTGCATATCTTACTCCACCCTGGTGAGGGTTAAAGCACACAGGGCTGAGGCATCCTTACAAACCCTTATCTGCTCAGATTAGGGCCTCAGCAGGGGAAGATCACTGCCAAAACCTAAGACACCACCAGAGACACAAAAGCATTAAGGCCTGAATTGCCACATTCTGATGGCTGACATCCAATGCCACGCTTTATATTTGATCATTTCAAAAACACTGGTTTTCAGGCTGCTGAATCAACCCAAACCCCACCGACTTCACAGGAATGGCATGCCTGGCATGCCTTCTCAGTCAGGGTGGTTATGAAGGTTCCTAAATCTGGACAGTTAAGGGCAAATGGTTTGTGGGTTTTCCACCAAACTGACTCAGCCACCAGCTGTAAATCCAGAGAGATGTGACTGCCCACAGTGTGTGCAGTGAGTGATGCAGTCATCACCAGGAGAAGGCTGCCAGCCCCTGTTACCCTGGCAAACAGATGAGCTTGGACAGGGAGATAAATCACACCTTTGGTGGCTACCGAGGGAAGAGGAGATCAAGTTAAAAGACTAAAGCCCTCCAAAGATTCAGCCCATTGAAAGCAGAGAGAAAAACAGTATGGAAGGACAAAGCCAACCACCAGCTTTGGGAATGCAAGAAGTGCTGACAATAACACCTGCTCATCAGCTGCCACCAAGTATTTGAAAACATTCATGCTTTCTACTTCATGTGTGCATTACAAGGCAAAAAGTCTGAACAGCAGGCCTTAGACGTGTGAAGACATATTGAAGACGTATGTAACCATGCCATAACCATCACAAGGTTCTCCATTCCAACAAGTTTTAAGGGCTTCCATAACCTGCAGTCCACTAGTCAGTGTAAAACATATTACTGCTACAAATCATCACCCTCATAGGAATCTTCCAATAAAAACGACCTCCTAAAGAGATTATATGCTTCATTTTAGTGTAACAATTGTATCAAAATTGTCCTTCTTTGTCATTTCACTCAGTAATGCCAGCCATACTTTCTGGAAAACTCCCATGAGGAAAGAGGCCTCTGGTTCCTCACCAACTGCAGCCCACGGTGGGAAGGAAACCTTTCATGGAGGACATGCACAGCCTCAGAGTCCCTGGGTACAACACTCTGTAAGGTCATGCTCAAAGATGTAATCACCAATCCATTTGAACATACAAAATAATGTGACCTAGATTGCAAGGCATACTGGGCTTTTAAACATTATCATTCTTGTAACAGCCACATTTGAGTTCTTTTTTTAACACGAGTTATTTTTGCCTACAGTTCCTAGCCTCGTATTAAATAAAGAAAATCAGGAACTTCCTCTCAGTTGGGCAATTTTCAGAACACAGAGACAGCCGGAAGGCTAGTGAAAAGGCTACACTCTTGTAACTTATTCTTACTTCTTAGGAAGTCAGCACTGGTCAGATAGGCCGGTACCGGAGTGGAGAAACTTTACGACTTCACAGCATTATGAGGAAGCTGAGGCTGAAGAACTACTTAGATCATTAGTTAATGGGGACCTGATGACTCTTGAATTGTGCTGCTCTCCCACACTCCCTTTACCCCAACTCATTCCTTCCCCCAGGAACTTTTCAGACACATATCCAAGAGAAACACAGCAATCAGCTCCCCACGTCCTCCTCCTCCTTGCAGGGCTACAGAGGGCTGGCTGCCCTGAGCAGCCCCAGGCGTGCAGGCGCTGCCGCCGAGGGGGTCCCATGCCCAGGAGGGGTCTTGCCCTGCACAAGTATCACAGCATCGCTCCCTCGTGGGTCCTGGGGTGGGGATGTCAGCCTGGCAAGCACTGCCGACCGTTCTGTGCAGCCCTTACTGCTGCAGAGCCGATCCAGCGGAGGGATTACCCTCCTGCAAGTGCCGCAGATGCAAAGCAGCCACAGAGCACGCTGTCCCGGCCGAAACATGCCAGCTGGCTACTGGCTGCACACAGCGAGCAGAGCACGGAGCTGCTGGTTCTGTCCTCGCACAGACTGTAACGCTGGGGAACGACGCCTCCCCCCAATGTCCTGCAGGTCAGCAGATGCATACCTCTGCCATGAGGCTGCAGGCATGTGGGAAGTTACTGCATTTTTTCCCCTCTAAACA